CCCCGCGGGCGGCCCCTCACAGGGGGGCGGCCTCCGCGCGCCAGGGGCGCGCAGCCGACAAAACCACCAAGCCGCCGCAGCTCCAGCGGCGAAGAGGCAGGGCTTGTTTCGATTCTTCCGGCTCGATTCGATTCGATTATGATGGCCTCCGATTTCGACTCGATTCGACTTGGGATTCTTTGGATTCCGATGTACCACAGAGCGCTCGTTTGCCGGTGGACCGAAGCTGAGGGCATCGGCCTCGAGTGTTCTCCCGTGGCTTGGTTGCGCTGGCCGTTCGTCTTCTTCACTTGGCGCCGTCGGTTGTTTATTCTTTCTCGCACACGACACTGGAGGCCTACTAGCGTGCCGATTTCCGCTGGTACGACTTCTCCCGACCCGGCTGCCGACTTCCGCCGATCTCAGTACTCTCGATCACCGATCCGACTTGTCGATTCTAGAGGAAAGAGAACTATGCACATACACCGCTTCTGGCCAGGCCCAACCCTGAGCCCAGGATCGGTGCATACGCCCTCCTACCTTGGCCAGGAAGGCATATGCACCGATCCTGGGGCCAAGGACGGGCCTGGCCAGGACCGGTGCACGTGCATAGTTCTCTTCGCCCGAGATTCTGGGCTCTCCTGAAGAGGAGCGGAGCTTTCTGTGCCCCTCGGGGGCCGCTCGTGGCCACGGCCGGACGCAGCCTCACAAGCTGGCCGGGAGCGGCCCTGGCAGGGGACCGCCCTCCTCCTCCCTCCTCCTCCCTCCTCCCTCCTCCTCCTCCATCATACTCCCACTCCTGCCCTTCCTACTACCTCCTCCTCCTCCTCCACCCCCTCCATACTCCACCTCTCCACACTCCTCCCATCCACTCTCCTCACGTCCTCCCTCCTCCTCCCTCCTCCTCCCCTCCTCATCCACAATCTCCTCTCTCCTCCTCACCTCATCACCCTCCTCATCCTCCATCCTCCTCCTCCTCCTCCTCCTCCTCCTCTGCCTCCTCCTCCTCCTCCTCCTCCTCCTCCTCCTCCTCCTCCTCCTCCTCCTCCTCCTCCTCCTCCTCCTCCTCCAGCTCTGAGTGGATCTCAGGTCGACGACGGCGAGGGGCTCCGCCTGCTTTGGGGAAAGCAGCGCGCTTCTCAGAGGGCTTCGCCCGGTTCGGTTGCGCTCCTGGTCGGTTGCGCACAGGTCGGTTTCGCCCGGGTCGCTTCCAACGGGTTTCGCCCGGGGTCGGGTTCGCCCGGGCCGGTTTCGCCAGGGCGGCCGGGATTGATTGGGCGGGCGGAACGTTGATGCGGACGGGTGGGCTCGCGGACGAGCGAGCAGGCGGACCTTGATGGGCGCGTCGGCCGGCGAGACCTCAGCGGGCGGGTCGGGCGCGCGGGACACTTACAGCGGGCGAGCCTGCCAGCGAGCGGGCCGCGACCAGACCTAACAGGCTGGTCGGGCGGGCGGGACCTTGACTGGCGGGTCGGGCGGGGGGGGCACTAACAGATAGAAGACGGCCGCGGGCGAAACCGACCGGGGCGAAACCGACCGCGGGCGAAACCGACCGCGGGCGAAACCGACCAGGGCGAAACCAGCCAGGGCGAAACCGACCATGGCGAAACCGACCTGGGCGAAGCCGGTTGGGGCCAAACCAACCGCGGGCGAAACCTAACCTGCCCCCCCCGCGGCGCCTCGCCTCGCGCGGCGCGAGGTGCGAAAGACGGGCGGCACAGGGCATCGTGGCCCCCGCGACGCCTCATCACGGGGGGCATGCCGCCACAGGCAAAGGCCGCCTCCGGAGCGGTGTTCGATGCGACTCGCGCCAGCTGGGCCTGCGGGCACGCTTCGATGTGGTTCGGTTCGATTTGCCGACATCGGCCAGGCCAGTCGGCGCCAGGCGCGGCGATCCGATCTCGATTCGATTCGGGACGAGTCGGTCGTTGGCGGTCCGATCCGTTTCCGACCCGACCCGACTTCGCGGTTCGACCGAGCGCAGGCCTGGCAGGGGCAGCGCCTCTGCCCTCCAGCTCGGGGGGGCCTCCTCCTCCTCCTCCTCCTCCTCCTCCTCCTCCTCCTCCTCCTCCTCCTCTCCTCCTCCTCCCTCTCCTCCTCCTCCTACTCCTCCTCCTCATCCTCCTCATCCACCTGCTCCTCTCCTCTGCCTCCGCATCATCCTGCTCCATCTCTCTGCTCCTCCTCCTCCTCCCCTCCATCCTCCTCCTCCTACTCCTCCTCTCCTCCTCCTCCTCCTCGTCCCCCACCCTGCCGGAGGAGAGCGGGCGGGGCGCCGGGCGCGGGCGGCTCCCTGGCCTTGCCGCCCTCTCCAGGTCGGCAGGCGGCATCTATACTGAGGTATAAGTCTGGCGCGTCCCTCTACAGGAAGAATATTCAAACATAGAGAAGAACAAAGTCTGGGGACTACTTTCTATGTGGTTTCGAGTCTGTTTGAGTATTGCTGGGTGGGGTATGTTTTTGTTTTTCGTCCAAAATCCGCCTGTAGGGGGACAGGCCCGACCTAAACTTAGGTCGGGCGTGTCCCTTTACAGGCGGATCTTGGAGGAGAAGTTCAAGAGAGGCAGAAATACGCCAAGAATGCCCCAAAATATTCAAAACATTGTCCCCAGACTATATTTTCCTCCTGTAGAGGGACAGGCCCGACTGAAGTCTACACACCACCACCGTGCCTGGCCAGGGCCATCCTGAGTCCCACCATGGTGTGCACAGTCAGCCCGCACGGTAAGAATGCGCAGCTTCCCAAGGTTACCCTCCACGATGGCGTATACCGTCAACCCGCACGGTGGGGAGGAGCAGCTTGCCCAGGTCATCTTCGAATCCTTGCCCCTTCGGCCCATCCTTGGCCGCTCCCGCTGGCCGCGCACCCCGCCCGCTGAGCGCCGACGTGGCCCTCCATGGCCCTCCATGGCCCCTGGCATCCTTCTCGCGCGCCCCTCGTGGACGGGCTGGCGGTTGGCCCTGCTGGCCCCGGCCACGAGGCGCCTGCACGGTGCCGGGTCCAGGGTGGCCCTGGCCAGGCACCGTGGTGTACCGTGTGCGCGGAGGAGGAGACGGAGGAGGAGGCGGAGGAGGAGGCGGAAGGAGGAGGCGGCGGAGGAGGAGGAGGAGGGGGAGGGAGGAGGAGGAGGAGGAGGAGGAGGAGGAGGAGGAGGAGGAGGAGGAGGAGGAGGCGGAGGAGGAGGAGGAGGAGGAGGTGCAGGTGTAGGTGTAGGTGGATTATGACTACCAGGGTCGCCGCCGCCGCGGCGGCGCTGCTGACTATCTCCCTGCTGCCGGCGGCGCGGCGGGCGGCCGGCCGGCACCCAGCAGGGGCCACGAGCGATGCGGAGGAGCCGGCGACACGCAGTGACGCTGCTGCCGACGACGACGCCGCCGCCGACGACGCCGACGCCGACGACGGCGGCGGCGGCGGCGGCGGTCGTTCCTGGAGGGTCTTGGGCGTTTGTTTCTGCAGACTGGGCCCGCTTCGACCGCAAGAGGTGCGCTCTCGACCCGCGGATCGAAAAAGCCTCTGCAGACTGGAGAAGCGGCAACAGCCATACACGGGCTCCGAGCCTGTGGGAGCCGCCTCATGACGTGCGACCCCGCGAAGCCCACGAGCAGAACGGAGCGCTGCTGCGGGCTCCTCGTCGCCACGGCCAGAGAGGTCTCGGCAGGTTGGCCGGCGGTCCCGAGCGGGCTCTGGGCGGGGCGCGGCCTCGAGGCGGCGGGCGGCACGTCTCGGAGGGGCCCCGGGGCCCCTCGGGGAGTCTTGCCGGGAGGCCTTGGCATCGCTCGGGCGTGTGCATGTTCGCTCGGCGAGGAGCCTTCGAGGAGCATCCTGGATCGTGTCGCCAGGTAAACACGCACGCCACCGAAAGATGCACGGGGGGTGTACGCCCGAGCGGTGGCGAGAGGCAGGAGGGCTTCTAAAAGGAGGCGGGGTGCCTTCTCTCGGGTGTGGGCTCCAGGGCACCCCTCACGAAGCCCAGAGGGCTCCAGGGGTCCCAAGATCGAGCGAAGACTTTGGGGACACCTCGGGCCAGGGGCACCTGTAGCAACTCCCGTGCCTTGGAAGGCCACCACTCTCCCCCCCCCTCTGCGCGCCGCTGCCAGAGGAAGGCATCGTGCAGGCGTCGGAGGCAGGGGACCCCACGCTCTACTGCTACCTCTTCATCATGCCGAACGGCATGGAGGCCAAGCTGACGACCAAGATGTACGAGAGGCAGATCGGGCCGTTCGGCTGCGACGCCTACGACGTCCTGAGCAACGCCTCCTTCAACATCGGCCAGGTTGTAACCACCGTGGTGCCCGGCAGCTTCTCCTGCGAACACGGCGGCAAATGGGGCACCGCGCTCAACACAGATAATTTCATCAGGGTATGGCAGACGATGGCGTCGCTGGGCCAGTGGCAAAGTTACGACTGGTCCATCAAAAACGACGCTGATGCCATATTCTTCCCCGAGCGTTTCCTAGACCTCGTCACCGGCCGCTCGGGCCTCATGGCGGCCGTGCCGACGGGGCCGGTGTACCTCAACAACTGCCAGTGGGGCATGCACGGCCCAGTGGAGGCCGTGTCTAGAGAGGCTCGGGGGCGGAAAAGAGGGGGGTGATGACTAGGGGGGGTGGATATCATGGCGTGGGCCATGATATTTCCCCAGATTTCATGGGGCCTCTTCTTATTTCATTACGTCCCTGGCCCCCCCGCTGGGCCGCGCACATGCCGCCGGTCATGATTTGCACCCCCCCCCTCTTGGACACGCCCCTCTTGGCCGCTCCCGAGAGGCGATGGAAATGTACTTCCAGAGTGGCAGTACTGGCTGCGCCGACATCCTCCAGCGCGCGATGACGTCCGAGCTGCCTGCGGGAGCCGACGAAGCCGACTACTCGTTCGGCGAGGACCAGTTCATGCGCGAGTGCCTGGAACAGCTCGGCGTGACGAAGGTCGACGCCATGCCCCACCTCCTCAGCGAGCGTTACGCCTGCGGTGAGAGGCCCCAGGACTGCGGGGGCGCTAGGGTCACGTTTCACGCCTTCAAGAACGTCCCAGAGTTCATGGTGTGCCTGAACTACGCGGAGGTCACGGGAGAGTCCTCCTGGCCGGTGTACCACAAGGCCTCCGACGCTGCCGTGGCGGCCTCCCAGATTGGGTGGATATCGCCAGAAGACGCTGCCGAGGATACGGGAGGGAACACCCAGGCCGCAGCCGTGGACTACCCGTCCGAGACCTGAGCGCGCGGCCTCCGCCACGCTGCGGCGGCGGCCTTCAGACCGGCTGGATGCCGCCAGAGGACGCGGCCTGGGGCGGGAGGGCGCAGAAGCGCAAAAACTGAAATTTCGGACGTCCACGGACCAGATGCTTCCCGGCCGACGCCTTCCCCATCCCTCCACGGTGCCAGCGCGCCCAGCGCGCCGCCGAAGGCGCCTGAGTCGTGGGCAGGGAGAGAACTCTCACAAGAGGCCTCTTCTTGCCCACGGCTCAGGCGGAGGAGGAGGAGAGGGAGGAGGAGGAGGAGGAGGAGGGGGAGGGAGGAGGAGGAGGAGGAGGAGGAGGAGGAGGAGGAGGAGGAGGAGGAGGAGGAGGTGGAGGAGGAAGGAGGAGGAGGAGTGAGGAGGAGGAGAGGAGGAGGAGGAGGAGGAAGAGGAGGAGGAGGAGGAGGAGGAGGAGGTGGAGGAGGAGGAGGATGAGGGAGGGGAGGAGGGGGAGTGAGAGGGGGAGGGGGAGGGGGAGGAGGACGAGGAGGAGGAGGAGGAAGAAGAGGAGGAAGAAGAAGAAGAGGGGAAGTAGGAGGATGAGGAGGAGGACGAGGGAGGAGAAGGTGACAGGAGGAGGAGAAGGAGGAGGAGGAGGAGGAGGAGAGGGGATAGGAGACCCCCTGGGGCCCTCTGGTGGCCTCCGGGTCTCCTGGAGGTCTCTGGGGGCGGACGCCCTCCGAGGCAGCACGCCTGCGCCCGTGGGCGGAAAACTCACCTCCGTGTGCGCGGCCTCGCGGGCCGGGCCCCTGGGCCGCGACCCCTTTTCGGCAGTCGTTTTTCGGCAGTCGTCTTTTCGGCAGTTGGCCTCCCGGGGGGCCCTCTCATGGCTGGGCGCGGCGCAGATCTGGAGCGAGCCCGGGGCTCGGGGAGCCTCGGAGGGTGTTGAGGGGACCCACGCGCTCAAAGTCAATCCTTGGAGCCTCCAGAGGGGGAGCGGCGTCTGGCCTAAAATGGTTCGAGAGCGCTCCCGCGCGTGCCCGCTCGCACGCGGTGCCCTGCCCCAGGCGTCTTTCCGGCAGTCGTCCGGCCATGGGACACCTAGAATCACCACACAAAACAGGGTTGTCCCTCGTGGCGGTTCCAGGAGGAGGAGGAGGAGGTGGAGGAGGAGGAGGAGGAGGAGGAGGAGGAGGAGGAGGAGATTCGCAGGCCTCCGGCGGGGATGCTCCGCGCGGAGCGCGCCCGTGCGGCCGCGCATCCGCCCGCGGGCCCACGCCCTGGAAGCCGGCCCGCGAGGGATGCGGATCGTGTTCGCCGCTCGTGCTGCGCTTAAGTCGGGCCTGTCCCTCTACAGGCGGAACATTCAAAAAAAGTCCAAAAATAGTTTGGGGACTATTTGTTTGTATGTTTGGGCATATGTTGCACATTTGTTGAGTTTTTTTTTTGGGGGGGAGGGGAAGAAGGAGCGGACACAGCAGAATGATGCCCAGCCTGGCGACGCCATCGTGAAGCATGTGAGCAACCTGCAACGCTGTGTGCACGAGTGAGACAGAGGCTCAAGGAAGAACAGCCAAATGACCGAAGATACGAAAATGCCCTGAGACGTATCCGGTCCATGGTCGCCGACACGAGGCGTTCAGGCAAGCGAGGCGGCCCATGTCGGACTGCAGATTTCTGCGCCCGCACGCTGGAGGGAGGAGCAGGAGGAGAGGAAGAGGAAAACTGGCGTTGTGCGAGCATCCCCCATGGTCAAGACGACCATTTATACAACAAGGCCCGATACAACGACAAACAAAGAGAAGCCTAGCAGCTCCGATCATCTCAAATCCCCTGCCAATCACAGGAAAGAGAAACGTACCCGGGAAGAAATTACGCCGGCGGCGGGATAACTTGGAGGACGGAAGGAAGCAGAACGGGAACAGAAGCGTTGGGTGCATGCACTCGCCAACTTGTGATATAAACTATGAGGTAGGGCTGGGGTGCCCGGCCAGGCGCGGAGCCGTTCCGCGGCGGCTGGAGTGCGAGCCCGGGCCGATTAAACAGACCGGAGTCGGCCAGCAGCGGCTGCAGTACCGCTAGCACGCCCTGCCTGTGCAGAAAGTGGTACACTAACCACGAATTGGGAGCAGGAGAGGGGGCGGGAAGGAAGAGGAGGCCGAGAAAGCGGGAAACGAGAAGGGGAAAATCGCCCTCGTCGAACGTCGCATGAGAATACGTGCCTTCCAGCCGACCTGGACACAGCGGCACTGTGAGAAAAAGGGATAGGGTGGTAGGGCCCGACTGCCCAACTTCACGACAAACATCTGCTGCGCCACCCGCCCTCCGGCTGGCCTGCAACACAGTTGAAACAAGGGGGAGGGGAGGAGGGGAAGAGGGGAGGAAGAAGGAGGATGAGGACAAGAGGGGCGGCCAGCAGTCGTCCTCGCCAATTGGCCTGGGACGCGTCGTCTGACCGTGCATTCTCGACACACCAGCACAAACTCGTACGCCCAGATCTGGATTGTCAGAGGCATCCTGGCCAATCCCAGGGGTGGCCCAGTGAACACAGGCAAACAAAAACAACGGCGTTTTGCAGCGTGGTGTCCGCCGTTTCCAAATATTTCAATCAGGCGCGTGACGATCCATCAGCAAGCAGCAACGACAGGGGAGAGACCGCGGAGGGCACAAAGGCGAGCGGGGGGCCATGCCGAGCCTCGGGAGGCGAACGGAGCATTCCCCAACTCCCGCAGGCGGGAGCAGGGAGCGCCCCTTCACCAGCCCGAAACCAGGAACGGTCCCCCGAGGGGTGGAGGAGACGCCAGCGGCGGAGGAGGAGCGGGAAAGGGCGAGAGAAGCGGAAGAGACGAACGACGGACGACGACGACGAACGACAAAGACGACAGCAGAAGGGATCGTTTTTTTGAAACCCAGAATTTTACACAACCTGTGCACCACAGGCTCGCGTTGAACCCCGGCCCCGTCGGGCGCCCGCGCTCGCCAGGGAGCCAAGCTCGGACATACAGGCTCGGCCTCGCCGAGCGTCCTCGCTCGGGGGCGACGACCCGGGAGGGGGAGGAGGACGGAGGAAAGAGGGGGGGAGGGGACCGCCCTCGACGAGCGTCTCTGCTGCACCACTGGCCCTCCGGCCGACCTACAACACAGTTGAAACAAGGGGGAAGCGAGGAGGGGAGGCGGAGGGCGAAGGGGGAAGGCAAAGGGAGGCCTCAAAGACTCAGCGTCACCACCGCGCCTGCGCCTCGTCGTACACGTTGCCCGCGCGCCGGTGGCCCCTGACGACCTCGCGGCAAGCCTGGGGCAGCGCCTCCCTCGCGGCGTGTCCCCTCCTCAGCGCACCGTGCCGGCAGTGGCAGTGCACGCGGCACATGGCCGCCAGCCTAATGCCGCGTAGCACTACCGCCGAGTCTTCCGACCTCGGCCCGACATCGAGACCCAGGAAAGTCGCCAGCCGGTCTGCCGGGCAGTCGGGCCGCCCCAGGCCGAGCTCTCTCGCGATGATCGCGTGGCCGACCTGACAATTGGAGTAGTGCTCGATGCTGTCCTCTGCGCCGGGCGAGCAGTCGAACATGCAGCCTGGCAGACCGCAGCGGCCCTGGGTCCGGCGGGCCGTGGGCCACCCGTTCCAGAGTGCTCGCCACGTGGCCGCCCACACCCGCGGCGGGGCCTGCTGACCAAGAGTGGCTAGAAACCGAATGCATCGCGCGACGCGAACACGAGGGTACTGCGGAATCTGCCACCGCTCCAGCTTGTGCGGCGACCGCATTTCCAAGCCCGCCGTGCCCCTGGGGGTGAGCAGCTCCGTTGCTGCCCGTTGGAAGCCCTGCCGAAGACGCCGGTCGAGGTGCTTCGGCAGCGGTCGCGCAGCGGCGCCTGCCCCCAGAAGCTGTCGTTCCACCCGGCCCGCCGTGACGCCCTCTTCGCGGCACCGATTGATGTTGTCATCCAGCTGCAGCAAGAACGATCTGTCGAACCACCCTGCCCACGTAGCAGCGACCATCAAGTTGTCTGTGTCGCGGCGGGCGCGGCGGAGAGCGTCGGCGCCGGGGGGTCACGCGCAGGCCTCCGACAGCGCTGTTCTCCATCGTGGCCACTCGGAGCTGCGCCGCCCGGCAACGAATGTGGAGATCGTCAAATCCGCTCGGGAAGCCCAGCGCGCGCAGATGCCGAAGGTCGTCGGGGCATGCCCACTGGCTGGAGCCTGGCACTAGGAGACGGAAGGCCTCTTCCTCGACTGACGACCAGCGCGGGGGCAGGGAGTCGAGTTGCATGAGGAAGCCCAGCACGGAAGTGATGTACACTGTGTATGCGAGCGCCGTCAAAAACAGCCCCCCGCCCGCGGCGCCCCACCAGGCGGCGCGATCGAGAACCTTCACCAAAGCTTTGTCGTATGCCGCGTGGCCCCGCTCAGGGCCGCGGACGAAGCCGAGGTAGCGGGCGCTCCCGGCTACCCGCACGCCCCCCCACCCGGGGTGAGCCGCAAGCAGTGCGCGCAGTAGGTCTGCCCGGTCGCCGTGGAACAACGGCACCGCGACCGTCTTCGGCAAGTTCAAAAATTATTCACTGCGTGGAGCTCCCCATATGTGCATCTACTCGCATGGACCTGTCCGCCGTGAATGTCTAGGCGCAAGAGCTTTCGAATATTAACGGGCTTCAGTTGTGACGGTCTGGACATCAATCTAACTGCGAATGAATTGGAGTGTGAATGAGCCTCAGTAGTACGAGCGCGTCTCTGTGCATGAGCCTGGGGCCTCCTGGGGCCTCCTGAAACCTACTGGGGCTTCCTGGGGTCTCCAGGAGCCTCTTGGGACCTCCTGGGACCTCCTAGGAAGGTTTCGTGCCCCAGGAGAGGCGCAATCTATAGCAACAGACGTACATAAAACATTGCGGATTAGAGCCACAGGAGAAGGGCAATCTATAGGAACACGCGTAAAACACCAAGGACTCGTGCCCCAGGAGAGGCCCAATACATAGGAACATGAGTAAAACATTTAGGATTGTGTACACAGGAGAAGGACCATCTATAGAAACATACGTAGAACATCAAAGAATCGTGCTCCAGGTGAGGCCCAATCGATAGGAGCATACGTAAAACACATGGGATTGGAGCCACTCCTGTTGCCTTCTGAGGCCTCCTGCTCCTGGGGCCTCTCGGGGCCTCCTGTTGCCTTCCGAGGCCTCCTGGCGCTTCCTGTTGCCTCCTGGGGCCTCCTGTGGTTTCCTGAAGCCTTCTGGAGCTTCCTGGGGCCTCCTGGAGCCTCTTGGGACATCCTGTAGCCTCTTGAGTCTTTCTGTGGCCTCCTGATGCCTCCTGGGACCTCATGTGGTCTCCTGGAGCCTCCTGGAGCCTGTTGGAGCCTCCTGTGGCATCCTGAGAAGAATCTGCGCCCACGAGCCTGGCCACCAAAACTAGCAAACCGATCGAGACATCCTCAAAATCTGGCCCACCTGGGGGGTGAAAATGAGCGCCTCGCTCGAGACATCCTCCAAATCTGCTCCGAAAGCGAAGGATGTTGGGCCCAGAAACAAGCAAACCGCCTGAGACATCCCCACAAAATGGCCGCGAACGAGCCCGTGCAACCACCCCTGGCGGCTCCCCTTAGGGGTGCTGAAATGAGCGCCTCGCTCGAGACATCCTCCAAATCTGCTCCGAAAGCGAAGGATGTTGGGCACAGAAACAGGCAAACCGCCTGAGACATCCCCACAAAATGGCCGCGAACGAGCCCGTGCAACCACCCCTGGCGGCTCCCCTTAGGGGTGCTGAGTATGAGTAAGTCTGTGTATGAGTAAGTCTGTGTATGTGTACGTCTGGGTATGACTAATACTGTGTATGAGTAAGTCTGTGTATGAGTAAGTCTGTATATGAGTATGTCTGAGTGTGAGTAAGTCTGAGTATGAGTAGGTCTGAGTATGAGTAAGTCTGAGTATGAGTAAGTCTGTGTATGAGCAAGTCTGAGTATGTCCGACAGGAGGGGAGGAGAAAAGAGGAGGAGGAAGGAGGAGGAGTAGGAGGCGTCCAAGTAATAACAAGAACCCCATCTTAGGATATGGGGAAAAATGCATATTTGTTGAGTATCTGTTATCTCTCGTCCAAGATCCCCCTGTAGGGGGGCAGGCGCGACCTGACGCTCGTGCTGCGCTCGTCTGCCCCCCCCCCCCCGCCAGGACGCGCCGCTCGTGCTGCGCGGAGCTGCGGGACTGCCCGCCCTGAGGGCGCGGCTGGCCGGGCGCCGGGCGCGTGAGGCGCCCGGTGCTCCCGGCGCCTGCTCTCGGAGGCGACGACAGGGGCGAACAGCCCAGAGGGAAACAATACACGTGGGTCGTCGTCGTCGTCGTCGTCGCCGTCGTCGTCGTCGTCGTCGTCGTCGTCGTCGTCGTCGTCGTCGTCGTCGTCGTCGAGTCGTCGTCGTCGTCGTCGTCGTCGTCGTCGTCGTCGTCGTCGTCGTCGTCGTCGTCCGTCGTCGTCGTCGTCGTCGTCGTCGTCGTCATGGGCCATCGGCGCCCCTGGATGCACGTGTTCCGCAGGCGCGCTGACGGCGGTGCAGGTCATGGCGACGTAGGTTTCGGTATTGTGGGAACGCGCGGCTTGTGCTCTCTTACAATCGCAGGCCGACAGGTTTACACCAACACCAAGATCGGCGGTGTGCCTCCACCGAGTGAAGAAGATCCCGATCTCGGTGATGGTGGTAATATTCTGGCTTCCAAGGTGACCGAAATATTACTACCAACACCGAAATCTAGGATCATCTCCCCCTGGTGGAGGCAACCCCCTGTGTTGGTGTTGGTGCCCATTTCCAAGCCTCCGATACAATTCGCTATGTCGTTTTCGTTCGGTACATCCTCAGATCGGCAATCTAGGAGAGGGTAGCTCGCGATGTCCTGCAGCTCGGTGTCCGAAATCACCGTTGAGCAACACCGCCGTCAGCGTGGCCTCGGGTATCGCTCTCCCCTGGGCTGTGCGCTCCCATCGTCGCCCCCGAGCCCGCTCCCGCTGCGCGCTACGCCCTTCTTCCCCGCCCAGGCCTCTGCACTGCCTCGGGCGGGGCCGCGCGGCGGCCCGAGCTGGCGAAGGAAAGTGCAGGGGCGGGGAGGAGGAGGAGGAGGAGGAGGAGGAGGAGGAGGAGGTGGGTTAGACCAAACTCTCCTGTCGAGCTTCATCTCCTGATCGGTGTTGCGATGGCGGCGGGGGAGGGTCGGCTGCCGTAAGGCTTTCTGCAGGACCCCTGGAGAGTTAGGGGCAGCCTGGTGTTGCAGGCGCGGGTCCCTGGAGGGGGCCGAGTGTTGTTCTGCTATTCGTGCTGGCATTACGCCGTCCAGCCCGGGCAGAGAGGCCTCGCGGGCCCGTGTTTCGGGCCCCGCAGATGGTCTGGCGGGGCCGTCTACACCGCTCGCCTCAGGCTCCAGAGAGTGGAGCACCCACCCACACTTGGCAGATTGCTCGTCGACGTCAGCGCGGTCCCGGAGTTCACCCGAGTGCACGGGAGCTCGCACCTAGGAGTGGAGGCAGAGGGTGCGCCCGGCTCACCCCGCTAGGATGGATGGCGCCGTTGCCCTCTTCGCTTTGGGACTGGGGGGCGATGCAGAGGTCGAGGAGCTGGGCCCGCACGAGCTGGACGATCGAGCCGAGGCGCAGCCTCGGAGGTGTTCCGGGAGGGAAAAAACACACAGACACAGGTAATCGTCGACTGCCCAGGAAAATATGGGAAAATGTGGGACGTGGGGGGGAAGACGAAAATCCATAAAATATGAAAAAAACAAAAAAAAATAGGGGAATCCTTTTATGTATGTGTGTGTGTGTGTGTGTGTCTGTGTGTGTGTGTCTGTGTGTGTCTGTGTCTGTGTCTGTGTCTGTGTCTGTGTCTGTGTCTGTGTCTGTGTCTGTGTCTGTGTCTGTGTCTGTGTCTGTGTCTGTGTGTGTCTCTG